GATGCACAGGGGGTATGGGCGGGGAGGCGGGCTCACCTCGGATGCCCCGGGGCGAGGAGGGGAGCCTCGCTGCTGCTCTCCCGGGTGGCGCTGGGGAAGGAGCGGCTGACCTCCGGCCTGGCGGCCTCATCTGGACAGTGAACAGGAGGGAAGGAACGCTGAGATTTCCAGGGGTCCTCCAAGGAGTCCTGGGGGTAAACGGGTGAGGACTGGGTGACGTGCCAGATCAGGACCCACCCTGCTGCTCTCTCCGGAAGTCGCAGGGCCTGTGCGCCCCCAGCCAGTGGTGGCTGTTTTCACGAGAGCCCCTGTCTGAGTCTGACCTTTCTAGAACTGGCCCCTCCTCTGGCTTTGGTTCCTCTCCCTTCGCCTCAGCCAAGCTCTTGCCTCCTTCCGTCTGTTCCCTCCTTGCTCTGAGCCGCAGGACATGGCCGTGGCGGTGAGAGCACTTCCTGGGCTGACAGAGCAGCTTAACCCGACATCGTCATCAAACAGGAAGAGAAGCAAAGAGGGGGTTTGGGGGAGAGAAACGGGTCTCTTCCAGGGGTGGGGCGGGGCCTGCCTCCCCCCAACCTGCACAAGGTCACCCCCACTCATTCACTCATTCACCCACTCAACTCCTATTTATTTATTTTTATTTTTATTTTTTGGTGGAGGGAGGTGATTAGTTTTTTAAAACATTTCTTAAAATTAATTTTTATTTCTTCTTAATGGAGACACTGGGGATTGAACCCGGGACCTCGTGCATGCTAAGCACGTGCCCTTCTGCTGAGCTGTCCCCTCCCCCTTCGACTGCTGTTTACGGAGCGTCTGCTGTAATTATTGGGCACATGGCGGTGGCTGAGACCCACAAACATCCCTGCGCGCACGGAGCCCCCGACTTGGCGGGAAGACAGTGAACAAAAACGTGAGCTCCAGGTGCAGTCCTCTCACTGGGGACCCGCGCTGTGGGCCCAGTTAGAAATGGCGCCTGGCGGGGACAGCAGTGCTGAGTCAGGATCTGAAGGTGGGGAGGAGGGAGCTGTCTGTCTCCAGACCTTCCTCTTGTAAAAGAAGCCGGACTTTGGAATTTTGTGTGCAATCTGGCTTTTCACATTATCTGAAAATGTGCTGCTGGTCAGCCGGGCTCTCCCACACTCGGGGCTGGTTTGGTCTGTGATCTCTGTCATAGGAAGGAAAGTTCTAAGCTGTTCTGGATGTTAATAAGTTGCTCTTAATCAGGGGGAAGGAATTCCTCATGTAGAGGAACTGAACCACTTTTCAGGAGGGTTTTAGAATGGTTTCCCCTCCCCGAACGAGCTGGGTGGACATAAGGGGAGACTGTCCTGCCCTTGGCCCAGGATGGGACAGATAGAGAAGGTGCGGGAACACCCAGGGAGACCAGGAGCCGGGCTGGGCTGCCCTGCGAGCCCCGACCTCCCCTCCGCTCTGCATTGATCACTCTGTGAAATCGGCACCCGTTTGGGCGGGCTGTTGTGGGTGATGAGTGAGGCGGTGCACCGGCACCCCACCCCCCGCATCTGCTGGCCTGTAAGTGTGGGCTCCTCCCCCTCCTCTCGGACGTGTGGGCTGCGGCTCAGCACTGCACCCCTGGACACAAGACCCACCAGGGCCCTCGCTGTGAACAATGGGAGCCCCTGGACCTCTCAGCCGGGGGAGCCCCGGCCTCTGCAAACAATGAGTGTGTGCTGGGAAGGCCTGTTTTCACACTGTCCTGCACGGCCCCGCCAGAGAAGGGGGGTACCCGGTGCACCTCCGTGACCTGCAGGCCCTCACTGCACACCTGTCAAGTCTAAATGTGTTCTTTCTCCAAAAAGAGGGAGCAGGCTCAGAGAGAGGGACCTGGAGGCCCCAATCCCGGCTGTGCCACCGATGCACATTGTGATCCCAGAGATCTCACTTCCCCTCTCCAGGCCTCAGTTTACCCGTCTGAACCACTTGGGCTACGGATCTTGAAGGATCATCGACTTTTCCAACACAGGAACACATAGTTGTAGAGCTGAGAACCTCTGCCCCCAACGGGGCCTCTGCAGACACAGTTGAGAGAAGGGGGTCCCAGGAAGGAGGGCTCGGCCCCTCCCTGCAGCGGGCTCAGCCTGGTCCCAGCAAAGACGGGACGTGGGCCCTCTCCGGCCACCTGAGAGGGCCAGTACTGGTTCTCACTGACAAAGGCTGATCTCTCCTGGGTGTGGACTGGGCACCAGATGATACTGGGGAATTGCTCTGAAGTTCTCTAGCTGTGAAGTGCAGCAAACACTCTTGTCCATTAGCAAGAGCTCGTGAAATACTTATGGGTGAAGCGACATGATCCAGGGTTTTCTTGAAATACCTCCAGGAAAGCAGATAACACACCAACAATGAGAATGTGCAAAGACCTCAAAACAAAATCTCCAAAGTACTGCAGGCGACGCCGGCTGCCCCGGAGGCTCTGACGCTGACTCTGCTTCTGTATGTCAGGAATTTCAGCACAAAACGCTGGGAAAGCAAACTCCTTTTTAAAATCATCTATACAAACTCATTCCAAGGGGCTTATCTCCAGAGGAGATATAAACACCATCCCCAGCGACTGGAGTGAGGGAGGGGTGGCCCCGGGATACTCAGCCTCCTGGCTTAGCAGTGAAATCCAGTCCCCTCTCAGCACCATACCTGTTACTTCCTGTGGCTCCCCTCCCCCAGGCAGGTGCTGCGTCCCCACCTCCTCCAGGTGGAGAACCTGCGGGGAGGGAGGGGTGGACAGCTGGCCCAGCCGCCTGCACTGGGACCCTTCTCTGTGACGTTTTATTGTTCTATGACCATCTAAACACACACACAAAATTAAACACTTTGGGAAGCAAAAAATTCTGTAAGAATAAAGAACACTTTCGGTGGTTTTCAGTTTCTTAGGTGCTACTGCAGGCCTGTGTGGTTTCTGGCAATTGCAGAAGCTGAGTTGAGAAATCACAAATAAATCTGAATTTTGTCAAGACTGAACTTCTGAAAAGCCCTTGAAGACGTGTATATGAATCCGGTTGTGCCAAGGCGCACATCTGCCAGCAAGACAGAGAGTGTGTACACTGCCTCCGCTGTCTTTGAACTGTGGTATCCAGCACCCTAAAAATGCACCCGCCCTTTGGCCCACTAAGAATACTCTTAATAAAACAAAATAAGGAAAAGACGTCTGGAAGCAGGGTTAGGAGCCTACCCAGGGACCAGCCTATCTGACATTGAACCCCGACTCTTCCACTTGGGTAAATTCCTTAACTCCTCTGTGCCTCAGTTTACTCATCTGTATCATGGGGATAACAGTCGTTCCCTGAGGGAAGGCCCAGCACATAGTAGGTGCTCAGTACCTGTGAGCTGCTATCATATAACCAGCGATAGAGGCCAAGGCTCTCGACCGCCCAAGAGCTTGCCTGTCTGGTTTTCAGTCTATATTGGGCTGATACTTTTGCAAATATAAAAAAACCAAATCACTGGGAAAGTTAAATGAAACCGGGAAGAGTCCAGGCTGTTGACAAGTCAGGGTGCTGTCTCATCGCCCGCGGGCTCCTCCCTGAACGCTCGGTCTCTGCGCCTCACCCCTCTGGCTGCAGGTCAGGAACAGCTGGTGTGCCCCCTCCGAGGAGCCCGGACATCCACGGGCCTGCTGCCACAACTCTGGTAACCTGGACACCACCCTCACATCCCTGGTAGGGGGCAGATGTTCATGGCACAGTGCCCCTGCAAGGACGCTGTCTCACAGGGATGGGGTGGCGGGCGGACGAGCGCTTTGCTACTTATAATTTTGTCTGTATTCCAAAGTCTTCACAATGAGTGTATGTTGCTTTGTAACAGCCACCACCACAGGAGGCTGGATTCAAACCTGCACTGTAAGGAGTCGTAGGGGCCAAGGGTCAGGACTGAGTATGGGCAGCCAGCCGTATGTGCCCAATTTCAATCGTTTCCTTAAACTCTACTGATATGTCAGGCAGGCCAGAGGCCAAACGAAGCACTCCTGCAAGTATGTCTGTTCACACAGCCAGTGGCTTTGGCTGGCTCACTGCCCAAGGAACCTGAAACGCACGCACACCAAGGAACAGGCAGCTGATAGCAGGCCAGACTGTCTCGCCTTCCAAAGATTTACACGTGGGAGAACGGGCGGAGTCTTAAGATACGGAAGAAACATCTCACCGTTCTCTTTTCCTTTTTCGACCCTGTACCTGCATGGACACTGAGGCTGGGTTTTGTCTTCGAGGCTGCAGGCACCGCAGGGAAAATGCTCTTTCCCGAGGACTTGGACGGCGGAAGGAGTGCGGAGGGCAGCTGGCTCTCAGCCATGTGCTCGGCCGAGGGCGGCTGAAGTTTCTCCGTCACCTGCAGGGGAAAAGTCACAGGGCGTGGGGAGCAAATGGGGGCGGAATGAAAAGTCAGGGTCACTCTGAGCTGAAGCCACGTGCTGATTGTTAAACACCTACATGTGCCAGACCCCTGCAGGCACGTGGGTACCTCGGTGAACACGACGGTCAGAACTGCTGCTGACATTCACCTTCGACCCCCAAAGAGCAGTGAATGAATGAACGAATGATGGTCTCCTGGCTTTTTGCCCCCTCCTTTTCCCTTCTCAATCACCTGCCCCCATGGTTTAGTTCTCACCTAAACCCCCTGTGATGGTTAACCTTTAAATCCATAGACTGGGTGAAGCAGATTGCTCTCCCCAATGAGGTGGACCTCACCCAATCAGCTGACGGCTCAAATAGAACAAAAAAGGCTGACTCTCCTGTGAGTGAGAGAGACCCTCCCTGCCTGGCTGCCTTCAGCTGGGACATCGGCTTTTTCCTGCCTTTGGACTTGAACTGAAACTTCGGCTCCCACGGATGTCCAGCTTGCTGGCTGGCGTGCGTGTAGACACACACACATTTTCTTTTGGTTCTGTTTCTTGCGAAAACCCTGATTAGTACACCCACCTTCTGCTCCCTGCCACTGTCCCACCTTTGGTTCCGCTGAGTGGTGACCAGGGCCATTTCTGCTTGAATCAGCAGCGCCCACTGTGTGCCCAGCGCGGCCCGGGGGCTGGCCGGCAGAGGCAGACAGGGGCTCTGGCAGACGGCGCCCGGGGGCAGCCTGCTGTCTCGTCTCCCTGGGTCTGTCTGACCGGCGGACGGCGACAAGGCAGCCCCCTCGGGGAAGACTGTCACCGTGCGAATCCAGGGCTCCGCCTCCGCCACGCAGACATGGTCCCACACCATTGTGGTCACCTTAACTGCACGTGCTCTCTGCTTTTGCTTAATCCTGTTTCCCTGAGACTTTTGCTCAATCCTGTTTCCCTGAGACTTTTGCTCATGTCGACACTGTCCAATATCCCAAGAAAGTCAGTCAAAATGAACACTACTATTCCCATAGGGATGCGTAGGCATCATGCGTGACAGTCAAAAATGCAAGGCACCTTCGTGGCCCTTTAACAGGGAACAGACAGCCTCAGGGGGCCACGAAGGAACCGCGTGTGGCCGGTCGGCCCTCGGCAGGTATTGATGGAGGACCCGGCGCCAGACGCGGGGCGGAGGGGCAAGCCTCGCGGTGGTCCGTGCTTAACAGCTCGCCTCTCACGCCCTTGTTGTTTATGTTTTAGAGTCTAGTCATCAGACTTTCCTTACATTAAAGCACAAACACCACGTAGGCACGTGAGAATTTATGGAATCACGTTAAGGGGAGAAACTCAGGTCATGAAACTGTATCTCCCGGGGGTGATGCCCACGCACTGGTGTGGACACGTGGCTTCAGGTTGGGCAGGAGGGAGATGGTCCCAGAGGAGGTGAGGGTGGGGCCTGGCTCTCCGCTCTTCCTCACGTCTCGGGCCCTCCCACACCCACCCCCACCACGACTTTGTCCAGGTCAGTCCCTCTGCTTCTCCGGCTGGACCCCTGGGACTGGAGCACCCGGCCAGCGTCCACCCACCGGCTGCCCGCTCCAGGTGCGGGAGGGCGACCACATCCTCCTGGCCTTCCTCTCCATGGAGCGGCCCCTGCCAGGGCTGGCGTGGGGCCACCTCTTGTGTGTTGGGCTGGCCTCCGGGGTGACACAGGGCTTGGGGTCCCTGGAGTCGAGGGCTACCTCTGGAGGGTGGAGGGAGGAGCGGCCGCTGCCGCCCTCGCGGTCCTGCACCCAGGAGCGCCGCGTGGCCGCGATGAGAGCGATGCTCTTGGTGCTTGCGGCCATCTCCTCAAGGGCCTGGGCGCTCAGCCTGGCCTGGGCCTCCGGCCTCGGGGTGGGGGTGCCTGGCTCCAGGCTCACCGGGGAGCACAGCTTGGAGACCAAACTGCTCACGTTCAGGGAGCTCGACTTCTGCGGGAAAGGGCAGAGCAGCGGTCAGAGGTCACCGGGCCATCCCTGTGGCCCCAAGTGGGGCCCCCAGAAGCAGACCCAGGACAGCAGTTTATTTGGGGGCAAGACTGTTGGGGGTGGGACGAGGGCCGGGGAAGCCGTGTGATGGAGCCAGTTCCTGACAGGGGACGCCCTGTGAGGCAGAGCAGCGCTGGGGCATCAGGGTCCACACCCCAGGGCCGAGGGGTACGGGATGTTTACACAGCACTCCCGGAGTCACTCCTGGGGGCTCCTCCCACGAGATCCTAACTCCCCAGGACCCCAGCAAGGGCAGCTGGCTCCCTGGCAGGGGGCATCCTCAGCACAGACGCCCCGGCGGTGGAGGCCAGAAGCGTCGGGGCCGCGCACTTACAGCATCACTAGTACTGACGAGGGCTCCGGCTTCGCGACAGCAGCTCACAAGCAAGGGCCAAGGCGGCCAGCCTGTGGGTGTCCTAGGCCTCCTCCCGCGCTCCCAGCTCGCCTGTCTGCCCAAGGGCGCCTCGCACCTGCCATTCGGCTCCCCACCTCCCGCCCCCTCCCACAAGGGGAGGGGAGCCTTCGTGCCACCTGGGAGAGGGCCAGGCTGCTTACACGAGGAAGTGGAAGCGGTGGGAGGAAGTGGGGAGGGGAGGCAGGAATGCAGTTCACTCTGCGTGGAGGGGCACTCCGGGGTGGGGCATAGGGGCTGGGCAGAGGGTCACTGAGCCTCTCAGGGGACGGTGGACGGGCCTCTTCGAGGGTCTCCCAGAGGAAGGAATTGGACTTTTCCTTTTGGTTGTTACCCCATGTTTCTTTGAGTTTAGCACCGTTCTGAGGCTCCTGGATTCGTCATTTTACAGGTGGAGAAATAGGGGCTCAGAGACATGAAGCAACTTGCCCAAAGTCACACAGCTAGCAAGGGACAAAGTGGGGACTTGATCCCAGGGCTAACCAGACTGATGCCTGAGCCCAACCTCTCAGCAATTGGACTATTCTGAGCCCCCACAGCGCCCACACTCTGGAGGAGGGGAAGCTGTGCTCTTTAACTCATTCACTCATTTAATCCTGTGAGGTGGGTGGGGTTACCCCCCACCCACAGATGAGCACAGCAAGGCCCAGCCAAGCTACCAGGAACCAGCAGCAGGGTGAGCAGCCACCTGACTTCTCTGAGTCTCATGTGTTGCTTATAAATCGAGGGTAATGACCACCCCTGCCTCATGCATGGCTGGGGGGAGCGTTTGCAGTGGGGTGAATGGTGTCCCCCAAATCCATGTCCACCTGGGACCTCAGAGTGTGCCCTTTGGAGACAGGGTCTTTGCAGATGTAATTAAGCTGAGGGTCTCGGGATCAGAACACCCTAGATTGAGGGTGGGCCCTCTGTCCAGTGACGGGTGGGCGTCCTACAAGAGGAGGGGCCCAGAGCCACACAGAGAGGAGGCCTGTGAGGACAGAGGCAGAGATGGAGGACGTGGCCAAGGGGCGCCCAGGGCCGCCAGGCCTGGACCAGGCAGGAGGGACCCGCCTTCAGAGCCCCGGGAGGGACAGCTGATGGTGGGCTTGGCCTCCAGAACCGGAGACAACGAACGCCTGTGGTTTCAGCTAGTCTGTGGCGCCTTGTCCCGCCCCACCCCGGGACACTAACATGGCGACACCAGCGGGCTCAGGACACGGTCGCCGCCATTGCGACAGCTGCTTAAGCAGAGGCCTCCTTCCGGAAGCTGCTCCCGTGCCCGCCCCTGAGCTCCCCAGAGCCGGGTGCCGCGAGCCCCGCACACACCAACCTCGCGGATGGGAGGGGTCAGCAGGATGCGCAGGGATGGCGGAGGGAGGAGAGAGTCCTGCTTTCCCAGCTTCCTAGATGGCGTCACTTCTGATGACTTGTAACCATCGCTGAGGGTGAAACACCAAGGCCTCAGCAGGGCCAGCTGCCAGGGGCCCCGGGTCCTCCATCGCGGCTGGGGGAGGACCAGAGCCTGGCCCTCCAGCCACGGCGGCTCACACGGAGGTTGAGCTGCTGTGGTTTGGGGCCCGGCTGGCTCATTCACCCACCCCCTCATGCATCTGAGCACCTGCCATCGCAAACCGACAGCCGGGGGGCCCTGGGTCCCAGTAGATGCAGCCCTGCCCTGATCACCCTGTGTTCTGAGCCAATGGACATGTGGACGGCGGGGCAGGCGGTGACACTCGCTCTGACGAGAATGGGCGGCCGGAGCCGACCTCACTGAGGGGCCAGCACGATGGAGAACCTAGCGGTCTTTGTCCCCAGTCCTGGCGCCGACCTTGAGGTCCCCTTGGAATTTCCGAGACAGAAAGGTGACTGTGGCATTCCCTAGATGTCATGACAGGGGTGCTCACCACAGAGCCCAGCCCAGTGGCTCGAGGAGGGGAACTCTGGGTCAGTTATGTGGCCAGTGATGTAACCAGTCGTGCTACGTAATGAAAACTCTGGACACTGAGGCTCGGTGGAGCTGCCTGCTGGTGACCATGGGTATGTGCAGGGAGGCCGAGGTGCCCTGACTCCAGGGGGAGAGCGGGTGCCTTGCCCCCCGGGCCCCTCCAGACCTTGCCCCATGTGTGTGCTACATAGCACAACTGGAGCCCTAGTTTAGTGCTTCAGTGAGTCCTCTGGGTCATTCTAGGGAGCTATCAAACAAGACGGGGTTGTAGAACCCCCCAAAGTTGCACTCAGCCGGACAGGAGGGCCGGGGGCCTTGGGATCCCATTTGCAGCTGGCATCTGACATGGGGGCACAGAGCTGAGGACACCCTCATCTCTCTGTGGAGAATGGAGCCCTCAACTGGTGGCATCTGATGGCCAACTCTGCACAGTTAGTGCCGACACAGAGCTGCACCACCCCTGGTGGTGAGACCAGCTGTGGGAGAAACGTCCGGGCCAAAGCCCAAGAATCAGAGTGAAAGGCCACGGCAGGTGCCGGAGGAAGAGCATCCCAGGCGGGCGGACAGCACGGGCAAAGGCCCCGGGGCAGGAGCCAGCTGAGCACATTCAGGGCACAGCATGGAGACGGGGGTTTGCACAGGAACTTGTGTGGGTGACCTCGGCCGTTGGAGAGGAAGGGACCTCTGACAACCTCACAGCTATAATTTTCTAGTCTTTCTGTTGTGTCGTCAAAAGGACGGGACATTCCTAGCAGCTTTCCTTCAAGCCAGGTCATCGGTGATGGTGCAAAAGCGAAGCGTCAGGCACCAAACCCAGGCTCCCTGGTTGTGGTCTCGGGCTTATTACCCAGAGCAGGAGGGAGAGGCATCCGGTCTGACTGGGGGAGTTGGGGGCACTTTGTTTTGTATACACGTGTACACACACAAGCACACAGGCACACACACGCACATGCACCCTTGTGAAGCATATGAACCCGTGAGCACATGCAACATGCACGCTCACACGTACACGCACACACAAACACATGTGCGGGCATGTGCACACACTTGTACACACGTGCACACAGATGCAGGCATGAGCGCACGAAGGGGACCAGCTGTCCCTCTGCCTGGAGCCCTGCGTTTTCATCGCCCCAAAGGGCCTGGATCAGGCGGGCGCCCTGCAGCCGCACGCAGCATCTGGGCGTTCACCGCGACCAGCAAAAGGCCCACCGTCAGGCCACCTTGGACAGACCACCTGCTGGCACCCTGGCTTCGGGTGTCCAGCCCCCGGTGCTATGAGAAAATAATCTCTGTTGTCTGAGTCAGCCGGCCTGTGGCATTTTGTTTCAGCAGCCTGAGCTAGGACAGGGACACCAACTGGGAAAACGTCATCTGTTAAATCTAGGCGATGAGTCTGCACTGCTCAATTTACTAGTCTACGTCTAGGTGGGCAGGAAACACCAACAGAGAAGTAAAAAAGGCGGAAAGCATCAAGGTTGGGAGGAGGGGCTCACAGGAAACAGAAACCACACAGGGGTGAAGCTGTCCTTCTAGCATCAAACTCCAGCCTCATACCTGCTCTGTGTGGCGAGCACCTCCTAGGCCGTATTTATTCTCCTTAAAACGACCCCGCAGAGACGGGGACAGGAGCCGCCCTTCTTGAGAGGAGCGGGGCCTCTAAGACATGCCCAGGGTCACGAGTCCTCTGCACTGGCCGGGCTCCTGCCGGCCGGCCTCCAGCTCCTGGCCCCGGCCCCGCCTCACTCCCTTACCTGTCGGTCTCCAGCAGCATGGGCGGCAGCTTGAACTGGGCCCCCCACGGGAGGTCCTTCCTGTCGTCTGGCTGGTCTTGGCTGGGCTCCTCTGGCAGCGGGGATGTGTTCAGAACAGAGCTGTCCTGGGACCAGACAGAGGAGCGGGGTGAGGTAGCAGGGACCACAGACACAGTGAGCTGGGTTGTCCAGCAGAGGCCTCGAGGGACCACAGGAAGGTCCTGTTCCCTCGGCCACCACCGCATGAGGGAACCTTCAGTTCTCTGCTGCCCCTCCCGCCACAGACAGAAAGGAGGTCTGTGCAAGGCCGAGTGCCCAGGGACCACCGGGTACGGCCTTGACCCCAGAGCAGAACAGTGCCTGAGGGGCATGCTCATGGTCAGAGTGCCCTTGCAAGCCGGTAGGGCCTTGAAAATCACACACAGAATCACCATAGGACCCAGCAATCCCACTCCCAGGTCTGCAGCCAGCAGAATTCAAAGCAGGACTCGGACAGACACTTGTACGCCCACATTCAGAGCAGCCTTATTCACAACAGCCCAAAGGTGGAACGACGCAAGTGTCATCGATGGATGAGGGTAAACACAATGCGGCCCACTCACATGGTGGGATGTGACTCAGCCTTGAAAGGCACGGAGACTCTGACGCCTGCCGCACCGTGGAGGGACCTTGAGGACACGGTGCTCAGTGACGTAAGCCTGGCACAGAGGACAGACACTGTGATTCCGCTCCTGTGAGTCCCTGGAGGGCTCAGAGTCACAGAGAAAGCAGAGGGTGGGGAGAGGGGCTGGGGGGGCTGCGGAGAGGAGCCCGTGGTTAACAGGGACAGAGTCTCAGTCTGGTACATCAGCCTTCCTGAGTTCTGTGAGGCCTCCTGGTGAACTGAGCCTGAGGGTGGTCTTGGGGTCCCCGACACTTACCAGAGGACAAGGATTGTTTTAACACAGACACATGTGTGGGAGGAAGGGGAGAGGACAGCACACAGCAAGCACATTCTGCAGGCGGACGCCAGACGTATCAGCGGGGACTGAACCAGCTGGTGCAGGAAAGCCAGCCCCACCAGTGGCCATAGCCGGGAACTACCCAGACCCACGCGGCACCGCGCCCGAAGTTACAATGTCGGGACCTGGTCCTCTGTAACGGGGGGTTGGGGGCAGCTTGAGATACAGTCAGATCCCTGGATCCCTCCCTCACACCACACTTCTGGGCATCTGCCCCTCACCCACTCTGGCTGAGAGTTTATCCTTTCTAATACTGAGAAGGTGGGCGGGAGGCGGGGGGACCAGGCCTCGTTGAGGGCACAAGGAGGGCTTGTGACAGCCCTGTTTGTCTAAATAAAGAACACAGAGCCACCCCGCCACTAGCCCTTCCTCCCTAGTGAGTCCCCAGAATCCACACCAGAGGCCATCCTCAAGCAGGACCCTGGAGGCACTTCTCCCCAGAGAACCAACAAGCCCTAAAAATCTCTCTGAGGTTCCCCAGAAGACGCCTTTCTGGTGTCACTGGGAAACAGGGTCCACCCCACACTCAGGCTCCTTCCCTCCGGCCTTTCGTCTCCCACAAGGGATCCTTGCAACAGCCAAGGGTCACCCACCGTGGGAGCAGCACACAGGCCCCCCCAAACAGGGATGCCTTCCCAGAAAGCTGCCTGGACCCCGGCCCGTGGCACGGCCCCAGGCAGCCTGATTCATGGGGTTTCCCAGTTTCCTCCTCCCTTTACCGGGGCTGGTCCCCTCCAGGGCTGGCGCCCTGAGGTGGAGGCCGAGGCGGACTCACCTGCAGAGAGCTGGACATCACAGCGTGCAGCAGCAGCAGGCGGTTCAACGTGCCCGCGCCCAGCTCCTGGGAGTAGAGGCGGAGCCGCTGGTCCAGCGGCTCTGGCACGGCGATGCCGCCATCTGCAGGAGTTGGGGAGGGCAGGATTGGGCGAAACATCTGCCACTCGTTAAAAAGACAGTGTCTCTTTTGGAGGTTTGAAGGCAAATGTTCCAACCTGATAAAAGATTTTCCTAGAGAGTGGGGTTTCTATCGATCGTCTTATTTATGTTCCTAGCTTAAAGGTTTTCTATTATGTTCATGTATTGCCTTCTAATCATAAAATAATATTATTAACAATTCCAAAGTATAGATAAAATTTAATTTAAAAGTGAAAGAGCTGGGTGGGTAGAGCTCAGAGGTAGAGCGTGTGCTTAGCGTGCGTGAGGTCCTGGGTTATACTCCCAGCACCTCCACTAGAAAAAAAAAGTTGAAGAACCACTCCTAGGTGTATACTCAAAAGAATTGAAAACAGGTGTTCAAACAAAGACTTGAACATGAATGGTCACAGCAGCACCATTCACATTAACCAGAGGGTGGAAACAACCCTCGTATCCGCCAACCGACGAACAGAGAAACAAAACGTGATGTGTCAGTGGAATGTTATTCATCTCCTAAAGGAAAGAAGTTCAAACATCTGCTGTAATGTGGATGTGCCTCCAAAACACTATGCTAAGCCGAAGAAGCCAGACACAAAAGGCCACACGCCATGGGATTTCCCTCACAGGAAATGTCCAGAAAAGGCAGAGCCGTAGAAACAGAAAGTAGAGGAGTGTTTCCAGGGGCTGGGGGAGTGGGGGATGGAGAGCTGCTGATGGGGACTGGGCCTTCCATGGACTAGCAGAAATGTTTTGGGTCTAGAGGTGATGGCTGCACATCGTATACTTTAAGATGATGAATTTTATGCCACGGAAATTTTACCTCAATTTAAAAAATTAAAGTAAGAAATTAAAAGACAGCATAATTATGGCTTTGACAAAATTTGACTGCTTACAGGCAGGGGCTGGAAAGGAGTTGGGTTATAGATAACCTGATTTCTCTTCCAAAACTTTCCTTAATGTTATTACACTGTTTTTAAATAAAGTGCCTTTTTCCCGTTATAAAAGGAACTGTGAGATGCTTCCCCAAAGGGAAAAACTCATTATCCAGCTTAAATCAGTGTTGACCTTAAAAACAAGATGGTGGTGATGGTGGTGGTGATTATGGTGCTTTTGATGGTGGTGATGATGATGATGGTGATGATGGTGGTGGTGGTGATGTGGGTGGTGATGGTGATGATGGC